CAAGCACTTTCTTCGATTCGGATTGTTGTTAATTGCCGTTAAAGCCACTCTGCAATCAGAACTTGTAATCTTTTCATTTCGTGTTCATCAGCCAATAAGCCCCGCTGCCATAATTTTTTGATTTATCACCCTAAACTCCCTATTAGATGTGTGTATTCCCAAGTCAATTCCTTCGACTACTTTTTCAAACTCCCAGATTATCACATATACAAAATGTAAAATCTAAATATTTTAAAAAGTTTAAAAACTCTGGTTCGTGTACAGACGTGGCTAAATATTCCATAGCCAAGTCGAAATTCTTTCTTCTTAATTCTCAATGCTATGAGAATTATCTAACTCGTTGTAAAAGGCAATTTCCCCGTAAGCGTAAATCTTGAAGTTTGCCATATTTTTTTTCTCAGGATGGATAAAGCTGGCTATGACTCTGATTCTACTAACCTCTTTGCTAATTTTTTTCAATCAACTTACTCTTCAGTCTGTCCTAATACTAATTCTTACCCTTATACTATTTCTTCCGCTGGTTCAATACCTTCTCCCATTATTTCACGCTCCTCTCTCCTATTAGCTATAAACTCTTTAAAATCTTCCTACTCTCCTGGACATGACAATATTCCTAGTTGTACACTCAAGGAGTGTAGTTCTTCCCTTCGTTATCCATTGCTAAAGCTTTTTAATCTATCCCTTGAAACTTCTGTCTTTTCATTTTTTTGGAAAGAATCTTATATCATTCCTTTTCACAAGAAAGTTGGGAAGTGTGGCATACAATATTACAGGGGCATTGCAAAACTGTCTATTCTTAAATTATTTGAAAAAATAATCACTTCGACTTTGCAGCATTTCTGCAAATCAGTTGTTTCCCCTGTTCAACATGGATTCGTAAAGAATCGGTCAACTACGACCAATCTGCTTAAGTTTACTTCCTTGGTAAATGATGCTTTCCTTTCGAAAATGCAAACTGATGTCATTTACACCGACTTCAGTAAGGCGTTTGAATCTGTGCACCATGACATTTTACTTTTAAACTTGACCGAATGGGTTTCCCTCAGTCTCTTTTGCTTTGGATTAATTCTTATTTAAAAGGTAGGACCCAAGGAGTAATGCTGAGGCTGACTAAACAGGCTCACGTTACTTCTGGTATTCCTCAAGGTAGTCATATTGGACCTTTACTCTTTACTCTTTTTATAAATGATCACTCATGTATACGGACTTATTCTATCATACACTAATCCTAATTCTTGCCTACACGACGATTTGAACGCTATGCAACTTTGGTGTTCGCTCAATCAATTACATCTAAATTATTCAAAATGTATGTTTATGACATTTAATCCCACTACACCTTATGTTGTTAGTTAAACAATCGACAATATCCCTTTGCAACGTATACTAACAGTTAAGGATCTAGGCGTTCTTTTTGTTTCCAAACTCTGTCTCAATCTTCACATATATACCATCGTCAATGAGACAAAAGGTGTACTTGAATTCATTAAACGATGGTCTAAAGAGTTTAACAATTCTTTTATAACAAAACTTCTGTACATCTTTCTTGTTCGCCCTATCCTTGATTACTGCTGTTGCATCTGGTCTCCGCAGTATACCAATAGCCAGGAACGTATTGAATCTATTCAGAAGCAATTTCTGCTTTTTGCCTTACAAGGATTAAATTGGGACCCTAATCTTCGGTTGCTATCCCTCTGCAACAGGCTGCTTCTTCTTAACCTACCGTCGATAACCAACCGCGAACCATTCTCGGTGTTGTTTTTCTACATAAGTTGACTATTGGCGACATAGATTCTCCTTTTCTGCTAGGGCTTCTTCAATTCTCTGTTCCGGCTAGACCAACCAGAAATTATCGCCCCTTAATCCTATCTACGTGTACAACAGACTACGCTATGTACAATCCTTTTCGCGTGCTATGTAAAAATTATAATAGTTTGCATCACGTTTTCTCTACCGAACTTTCTCTACCCCTAATAAAATCGTTGCTTTCAGGATACCCTCGGGAAGTCGCTGACCATTCCAGGGCAATGGCATAGCTTACCGGACAGGCTGAAAAAATGTTGGGTGGGTGATTTCCCATTACTTTTCTTTTTGTCCGATCTGCTTAACATAATATCTAGCTTTAATTTCCTTACTTTAATAACAATCTTTTTACTTTCTTTTTTCCTATATATTGTAATTTCTTAATTAATATAGGAAATTAAGATTATTTTCAATTTTACCTAAGAACACTTTTTCCTGCCTTCACCCTTCTGCTTAGATGTAGGCTCTAACAGCGTCACTGACAAAATTAGCTGTGAAAGGGGCACACCAGCTGTGCTGGCAAATAAAACACCCCCATGCTATTTTAAAATTGTGATCTCTAAATAGGTTTTTTATTACACAATTTTATTATGTATTGTATGTACAATGTATTGAATAATAAGGAAGAATAAATAAATCGTCACGTTCGTCTGAGCTTGACTCAAGTTTGCCTACAGTGTGCTTCGCAATTAACGTGGACCCACTTAAACGCGGTCTTCCTCCAGAAACTACCCTTGTTTTTTGAAAACTTGGCAGCCCTGGGAAAAGCCTATCTGGCCGACGCTAACCCCAAGTATCAAGCCCCGTGTTGCGGCTTAAAGAAAGACGGATATGCAAGTCCTATGTTAATAGGGATGTTCCAATTTGTATTTTTGATAGTAAAACTCGGTTGACTATCGGTTATAGTAGACGGTACCAGGGCTGTGAGACATGTTGAGTATTCAGAGACTTGTGACTGTAACATAATAGAGACCGTATTGTCTTAAGTGTCAAAACGGGACACTCGAAGACCGGGGACAATTGCTGAGGACTTGTGCTCCTTTAACTGAAGCTGGTGAGCAAGTCGTGACTTTATAAGATGCAGCTGAGAAGCGGAGCGATTTTTGACGATCTCGATAGCAGTAGCCAAGATCACTGCGGAAATTCTGGGCGATAAGAGAGGTGGAGGTGGATGTCGACGACTTAGAGGTAGAGGCGTGGGCAATGAATCAGCAAGCGCAGTCAGCTGGCCAGAAAACACAAAACAAGTCGTTTTTATTCCCTAAGTCGTAACGCAGAGGTCAAGATTCCAAACCGTGTACAATTATACATCCGATGACCAAGGATGTCACAAACCGATGTAATGTAATGTAGTGTTATTAACTGTGATTGTAAAACTCAGTTTTCCCAGATCCACTCTACAAGACATTTGTAATTAGCCGGGACGCGTAACTAAAAAAGGGGGTAAGGGTGTCGTTGGGGTTACTCCGCCGCTGAATGATTTATCTATCAGGAAAAAGGGAGAGGAACTGCTGTGATCTCTGCGGTTAGGGTTATGGCTGATGGCTGCCAAGTGGAAAACACTGAAAATAAACAGTTCTTGTTCGTCAGCAAAATAATGCAAAACAATGCAAATGGTAACTACTAGCCGTTTCTTTTTAAGTCCGTCGTCGTCGTTGCGTGCGCACGTCTGATACTTACAGCTGTCAATCCAAAAGTGAAGCTGCTGATCAGATTCGCCACTTAACGACCCTTTTCTCGAAAACTATCTACTTAAGCCTTTTCGCTCCTCCGCATCTCCTGCTTATGTTTGTAGAAGTCGGAGTTGCCTATGATTATATTTAATTCGTAGATATCGGGTTAACACTTTGGGGTCGTCGCCTCAAAGAAACGGGAGGCTAAGCTTGACAAGGAATTGCGAGGTCACAATATCAGAGGTAAAAGCAATCTGAAAGGAGATTCCATTATGTTGTATCCACAACTTCATGCAATCTGTACTGAGACGTCTGCAATTGAACCAAATGAAGGATTGTAAAATTTAATGTAGTGGAGCTAATCTAGCTATGCATATCCGGAAGCAATGGCAACGGCGGTGCTCAACCGATCTTCACAAAATATATTGGGAAGTATTCACAGAGGCTCCCTAGCTCCTTCGGATGGGGGGTTCTTATTAATGTCTGGCCTGCATATACTATTTTATTTAAGGATCCCTCCAGAAACTAAATTTTGGAGCTATACTCCGAGGATCAAAATATATCAATTAAAAAAATCTATTTGGTAATAAATAGTTTAACGAAAAATAGTGTAAACTTAATTACTTAATTACTAATATTTTTTAAATACCTAAGTTACACTTCACTATTATTTTATTTCCAATGGATTCACTCAATTCCTTTGTTTTGACCATATTTAATACATTTTTGAATGAAACAAATCCTATCAGTAACAACAGTCTCTCAGGCTAACAAATCCGGAACAATGGTATGATTTTCAATTAACAGCTAAAGTCAACATACGAATGCTAATAAATGGCATATTATGAAAACACAAATTTCAAGTAAAAATATATTTTACAACATACTTAATTCATTCATATATGTACTTAAAGATAAGGCAGATAAGACAACCGTGACAATTCTTCAAAATAAACGTTGCGCAGAGTTTGTCAAAATATTTAATGTGTAGTATCCTCATGCAATGCATGCCGTCACATAATCCCAACTAGCGTTTAAAAAAATATTAGAGTATGTAGCACTGTCATCGTCAGTAAATAACTTTAAACGTTTATCAAGGTTGTTTTAAATATTAAATCGTTGTGTTGTTGTTAATATTTATATAAACTCTTTATTTATACATATGCAAGCTGGCTACATGGTCAGATAATTCGCCAACAGCTCTTGCTGCACTAACACATTTTTGTATTATATGACTGTCATTCGATTCTGCGCACTAAATACAACGTAACCAATGTACATATGTAAAATCAATAAACTCATGTACATATTTACCTTAAGTTTGTTTTTAGCACACAGTTATTAAAAAATATATTATAAGCATTATTTTATTTATAATTATTATATACAAATGATAATATTTAATACATTTTTGAATGATATATATATATATATATATATATATATATATATATATATAAATATATATATATATATATATTTGTTGTGAATTTATACACCTAAAATATATTTGTTGATACATACCTGACTTCAATTTGATTTTAAAGTAAAGTATAATTTTACCTTTCACTTATAATTATTAGGTTGATACTTATTTAAGAAATATAATTCGACCCAATAATCTTGAACAGCGAAATTACGCGCACTGACAATAAACGATATAAGTTTCCTGAACTTCTGTACTAACAGTTATTTTATACCCTCTAGTTGTCTAGCAAGGAACAGTCCTATAACACGTCAGCTTACGTACAGATATTCATGTCCGCAATGTTGATAAGATTGAAATTACATTAAATTTTAAATATACTACTTCTAAATGATATTGATAAATTTAATTAAGTAAAATGGCATTATGTTTAACAATAATATATCCAACATAAAATAAGAGTAATTTTATATATTGAATTTATAGCTAACTGAAGAAAAATGTTAGCTAAATCAACTAAAAAATAAAAATTATTCTTCTAAAGTCTTATAGTAATTTATAATAAATGCGGCATAGGGTATATTTAAGGCTTTTATCTTCTTTTTACTGTTGACCTGATGTATTTGAAGCATTTTTGCGCGCACTGTCAAAGGGTACTTCTGAGACTTATCGATTAAAATACAAGACGAAACTAAATATATACATGTATGTATATTAACAAAGCAGGTTAAGAATTGTTTGTTTATTCATGTCTGGTGGGTTTTATAGCAAGTGTAAAACTTTGATATTTGTATAAAGCCATTGCAAAGGTATATATTGTATTGATGTATACAAATGTTGTATTTAAATTTATCGATGTTCACAAAAACTGATATTAATGATTTCGATGATTTTATGCTAGCTTTTCATTTTGTACGCATAAGTATTAAACGGTCAGGTGCAGGTAGGTCTTTATTACGGGCATCAATATGTTAAGAAAATAAATACCACAACAAATCATCATGCAGCGTTTTGAATTGCCCACTGAAGGTGAAAGAAAAGATATCGATAGATTCAAGGAGTGCGCAACTATCGGAGTCACGTGTTCCTAAGCGCACCTCTGTACATTGTTGAAAGGATCTACGTTTTTTTGTTGTTGCGATAAGTTTAAAAAGAAAAAAATTAATGTCATATGCATTCCGGCTGCATGCCAAAAAAAAAATAAAAGTATAAATTGATTAAATGCGAAAATGTGATACCAATTACATAAATTTATAAAACAAATTTAGCCAAAGCAAGAGCTGCAATCCTCACCGGCAGGGCTCACGGCATAGGCTACCACACTGTTTTGGGACAATGGAAATGAACTGAATAGAAAGACAATAGCATTCATATGTATAATGTTACATTAATTTAATTATTACTATATATAATTTGTTAACCGGCTCTTTCTATTCCGATCGGCTTCATTCTCATTTTCAAAGATTCTCTGTTCAAATTCATTTCAAGGGTGTTTCACACTTTTCGAAAAATGCCTTCCTCTTTGGTAGAAATGGGGTTCAGAGATTTGGTGGGTCACGTTTCGCGCTCAAATTCATAGCCAATGATCTACATAAAAAATCATTTGAGACGTGTTTCACATTTATCGCAAAGTTAAAGCTTCATCGAAAGAAAGTGCAATTCAACGATTTTTCTTGGTGACTTTTATTTTTTCCCCATTTGCTTCAAGCTTATTTTCTACATAAGAACTTAATGTATACATGTATAACCCATTTGGGTAATTCCACCCACAACAGTGGTAAATTGGCGAAAAACGGTTGTATGAAAGTTTTTTGTTTACCATCCAATCGGCCTCAAACTTCTTTTTAAAGATCTTCGTTTAAATTCATTTGTAGAGTATTTCCCACTATTTAGAAAATCCATACCAAACTCTAAACTGTTTCGGTGGAAAGTGTATGAAAGTTTTTGTTTACTGTCCGAAATATTCATTTTATAAAATACGTGCCACGGGCACGTTTGTGTAAATATATTACGATAAAGCATCAGACGCAGCGACGTTGAGGTCTGAGGATCGTTCTGATCGTTCGGCTGCCACTCTCAGCAGACTTACTGTCTCTGGAAATAAAAAAAATGGTCACAATCGCCCATGGAGTTCCCTCGCATCAACTAATCGTGTTTCGATTATTTGGCTGTTTGACGTATCTATGCATTGTATGGTTAGTGGTTTCATGCTTACAGACGAAATTTAAACAGACAATGTGTTAGTACACGTGTGGGCGAGACGAGAAGTAATCGGAATTGTCGAATTTTTCTTGCAAAAATTTAAGTATAAGAGGAATAGTTGAATTAAGCGAATTTGGGATAAATAGGAACAGAAGTCTTTCTCTCTGTTGCACACAATACATATGTATATCGGAAAGTGGATAAGATCACAATATTATGTAGCTGTCATATGAACGATCGGTCGAAAAGTAGTTTCCTGTATACAAAATTTTTTTTGTTTTTCAATAAATTTATAAGTTTAAATTTTTCGTACACTTATGCAGCGGACCGTTAAATTATATAGTTGCCATCGGAACGATTGTTCGGAAATTAAGTAGTTCTAGTTTTGTTCTTCTAGATATCTTAACCAAACGTTAGATGGCTATATCATATAGATGCCATAGGAACTATTAGTCGAAAATTTTCTTTTGTTCTGGTCTGAAAAACTTTTTCTTATTCAAGATGTCCTTACCATCCGCGCCATTAACTATTTTCCTTGTGCTTCTTAGATACGGACAAAGAATTATGAGCATTATAAAAAGGTTGGATCATTGTTAAATCTTCGACATGTCGAAGATAGCCTTTTCTTTTATACCCTGAACCTATTATAAATGGGTAAAAGGGGTATAATGTATTTGTGTAAGTGTATTTAACAGCCAGAAGGAAGTATCTCCGATCCCATAAAACTTATACATTCTTGATCAGCATCATCAGCCAAGTCGATCTAGCCATCTTCATCTGTCAATCCGTTCGTCTGTCCTGTCACTAAACTTGACATGTAGCTTCTAGAATGGTATATATGATACCACATACAGTAGCCTTGAATCGAATATAAATGTTTTACCCACCAATTTGTCCTATTTATAATGCATCAATATTTTATAGTACAAGTAGATCTACTATAAGATAGTTAAAGAAACACAGCAGTTACTTTTAATTAATTTCTTATAACCTGAACCCGCGCAGATCGAGCTTATATCGATATTCGATAACTTGCCCCGTTTTCTTGTAATCAATGCAAAGTTATATCGGAATCCTGTTCTTCGAGCAATTTTCGTAAGCAATAAATTTGACATGTAGCTTCCAAAATAGTATATTTATATCAAGTATCTTTAATTTTATAGCTATCCGCTCTACTACCTCATAGCTGTAAATGAAGTAAATTAACTATTTTATACTGCTCTCATGTTAACCCACAAATTAAATTCAATTGATTTTTTAAGAATAAACAAATATTCTATAGTACAATAAGATGTACTGTAGAAAATTTCATCAGGAACGGTTAACACAAACGTTGTAAAAGAAAACGTGTGAAAACGTGCGAATTCCAAGAATTTCTTTATTCATGTACACACATACATTCATGCGCTTCTACTTGGTATTACAATTTTCGGTTATGCTATTTAAATTTGTTTATTATACCCTGAACCACTAACCAAACCACATATAGACTGGCACACAAGCGCATAAATGCTTCTATTCATATACAAAATATGTAAGTATGCGTGAATAGTGAGTCCAAAATATTTTAAATGCACACATGGCAACGCTTGGCTACCCTTACCAACGATAGCCAGCTAAAATGCAAGAATTTCGCATCGACGTGGCAAACCCTTTCTCAATTTCATATTACTCGTGCCTTAAAAGGGTAGCAATGCCTCACCATTTGAGAAAAAATGAATTTGTGCGCAGTTTTGCTTGTCGGACACATACACAGACACACATTTAAACAATCCCTAAACAGAGAGAGAGCATTGAGAGCTGAGAGTAAGTGCGAGCAAGATAAAAGTTAACAGCGTTGCCGTTCTATCGCACAAATCATATGGAAGAGAGTGCGCCACGCATTTACCTGTGGAGTAAGCGGTTTTGTTACTCGCGATTTTGAACCAGATGCCTCCGATACTTTTTGTGACAACGTTGTTTGTATGTCCAGTCTATATGTTGTTTGGTTAGTGCCTGAACCCATTAAAAATGGGTATAAGGATATATTGTATTTGTGCGAAATCCAAATGTATGTAACGGGCAGAAGGAAGCATCTCCGACCCCGTAAAGTATATATATTCTTGATCAGCATCAAAAGCCGAGTCGATCTAGCCATGTCCGTCTGTCTCTCCGTCCGTCCGTCCGTCCGTATATATGAACGCAAGGATCTCAGAACCTATAAGAGCTAGATACTTGAAATTTTAGATGTAGGTGCTCCTAGTTCCCGCGCAGATTGAGTTTATTTCCGATAATCGATAACTTACTCCGTTTCCAAGCAATCGGTAAAAATCGACTTCGATATCCTGTTTTTTTGGGCAATTTTGGTAAATAATAAGAGCTAGAGTCACCAAACTTGACATACAGCTTCTAAAATAGAATATATATGCATTTAATGTTGGAAGAAGAGGGTTCAAGGTATCCCCTAGTCGGGAGCTCCCGACTAAAATATATGTACTTTATAGGGTCGGAGATGCTTCCTTCTTCCTGTTACATACATTTGGATCTTGCACAAATACAATATACTCTTATACCCATTTTTAATGGGTTCAGGGTATAAAAATCTTCAAGAAATCACCTAAAATATGAACGCAATCTTAAAAACTTTATACCGAAGTACGTGAAAGGTAGCAGAATCCATGCGCTGCTAGGGCTGCTCCCTCGATTGGCAACACCTGAAACAGTTGGCATAAGTTTGTGCCCGGCTAAAGCTCTTGGAGTAAATACGCAAGTCGGAATGTGCGACGCAGCCGAATCTCAGAGTGTGGTCGATTGCCTTCGTCGTTTGGCGCCAGCGAAACACGACAACAAGAGGATCGATAAATGCCGATTTCATCTCCTGTATAAAGGGCAAAAATCCAAATCGAAGTGAGGTGTTACGGTAGTAGTAGTAATACGATTCAAAAATAAATACCACTCCAAACAATATGCTGTGTTCTGGGTTGCCAGCAGAAGAAAATTTATCGACAGTTTCGAGGGGTGCGCAGTTATTGGAGCCACCAGTTTCTTAGCGTGACTTTGGACAGGGAAGAAA